CAATAAGGAGGTCAGGAAAGATGTGGAGCCTAGTCTGGAGAAAGGACACAAGCCCTACCTGTGTTGCTTTCCAGCTACATGATCTTCTGCAAGTTACATAACCATTCCAAGGTCTCCAGGTCACCATCCATAAAGTTTAAAAGAGAAATAAAAATCATGGTATCCAATCACCTGAGAGTATTTCTGAAGGTGTGACTTTATATTGAGTAAGGTAAGTAGAGCAGAAAAATAGAACCTGTGGGAAAGAGTTGCCAAACCACAGTTCAGAAACAAGGCCTTGCCAGAATTTCATTGATAAATTGCTAGATCATGGTAGTGTATGGGTCCCCGGGTGGAGAAAGGAAGTTCAGCGAATTTAGTTAAAATCCTGGGAAAACGAGCATCCAGCAATCTCACTGACTGATGCCACTTTTCAAAATTCTACATGTGGGCCACTCAACAAATATGAAAGAATATGAGAATCTCTGTGTTAGAACACAGAAGAAACTGTGAGGAGCACAAAAATGAATAACTTAGTCCCTCATTTCAAAGAATCTACAATTTATTAAACATAAAAATCCATCACACAAAGCAGGTATGATCTATATACCAACTGCATTAAAATGTTAGAAAATGAGCCAAACGAAAGATAGTAAGGGGCGGTGGGGGGAGGGGGGCAGTGCCCGGGTGGCTCAGTGGGTTGAGCATCTTCGGACTCTTGGTTTCGGCTCAGGTGGGGATCTCAGGGTCCTAAGAGTGAACCCCTTTGTCAGCGGGCTCAACGCTCAGCAGGGAGTCTGCTGAGATTCTTTCTCTCCCTCTCCCTTCCCCTCTGCCGCTCCCGCCCTCAAAGAAATAAATCTTTAAAAAAAAAAAAAAAAAAAAGTAAGGGGAAGAATTTCCTAGGAGCTAGATTTAATAATGAATAGAATTTCAAGAACAGACAGACACAGAAATTTGAGAGTACTGTACATGTATGTATCTAGAACTGTAGGGTATGTGGATTATCAATTCCACTAGACTGTTCTCCAAAAATGATGTGCTTCTATCAACAGTTTGTGGATTCCCATCCTTAGAACAGTTGTTATGAACAGAGTTCATTTTTAAAATGCTTTAGTCAACATGATGGGTAGAAAAGGGTATCTCAATTTAATTTTCATTTCCTATCCTCACATTCTCCATAAGTGTTTCATAGGTCCCTTTTTATATTATGAAATAAAAGGCATAGTCTGCTTAAGCATGATGAGCCGTTCGTGCAGCTGGAGCCCAGGACACAGAAAGCACACAGAGGATAAGCCTCGCTCTCTCCCTTCCAGAGGTTTCTCCAGGACCTTGGTCTTTCCCTCTCCACCCCAAAAATTGCCAGTTTGCATCAGCAGATGGGACAAACCTTTCCTTTCCTCCCTGAATGCACCAGAGTAAATTAAAGAGTTCATAAATGAACATGGTTGAAAAATACAGATCTTGACAGAAACATCTGAAACCATTTCCTCCATTTTTGCCCAAAACTTGGTTTCTGCCCAATTTAGATCATGGAATAGTCAAGGTACCTTAGAAAACACACAGAAATTTTTATCCAAGCCTGGAGACCTGGTTTGTAAATACGAGGCATAAATACATCCACTCTTCTCCCCCTCTCATCCAGAAGGCAGAAAAGTATATGAAAGATAAATCAGGGTTGTTTTTTTTTTTTTTAAAGATTTTATTTATTTATTTGACAGAGAGAGACACAGCGAGAGAGGGAACACAAGCAGGGGGAGTGGGAGAGGGAGAAGCAGGCTTCCCGCCGAGCAGGGAGCCCGATGTGGGACTCGATCCCAGGACCCTGGGATCATGACCTGAGCTGAAGGCAGTCGCTTAACCAACTGAGCCACCCAGGCGCCCAGGGTTTTTTTTTTTTTTTAAAGATTTTATTTACTTATTTGACAGAGACACAGCGAGAGCAGGAACCCAAGCAGGGGGAGTGGGAGAGGGAGAAGCAGGCTCCCCGCAGAGCAGGGAGCCCGACGCAGAACTCGATCCCAGGACCCCGGGATCATGACCTGAGCCGAAGGCAGACGCTTAACGACTGAGCCACCCAGGCACCTAAATCAGGGTTTTAATCTGATTTGTGGACACTCATTAGGAGGGTTTTGCCTCAAAAGCTCCCACAGGGATAAAATTTTAAGGGAAAATTCCAATAAATAATACTAGGAGAAAATAATTGTTTTTAACCAAAATCTTATTTAGATTCTTTCCATGCTAAAAAACAAAATGGCAACCAAATAGGAATGAACGCAGTACACAGTAAAACCCTCAGTAGGTATTACTAAAAGTGGTATTCTCAACTCTAGTCAACACACAGTATCAAAGAAAGCTAGGAAAAAACATATTCCAAAACTTGATTAATGTGATTCAAATAGCACATTCCCTACTACAGTGGAAAAATGGAAAATCACTATAAACATTTGCTTTCAAAAAGGAGTTGCTAGTATCATTCCAGTAACACTATAATGCCACATTGCCTCAGATCCACATCGATTTTTCTAATCCAGGGGTTTTCAACCCTGGGCAATTCTACCCTTCAGGAAACATTTGGACATTTTTCATTTTTTTTCTTTTTAAGATTTTATTTATTTATTTGACAGACAGAGACACAGCGAGAGAGGGAACACAAGCAGGGGGAGTGGGAGAGGGAGAAGCAGGCTTCCTGCAGAGCAGGGAGCCCGAAGGCAGACGCTCAACAACAGCCACCCAGGCGCCCCTGGACATTTTTCCTTTTGAGACATTTTTCATTCTCACACGTGGAGGAGGGTGCTACTGGTATCTAGTGGGTAGGGGCCAAAGATGTTGCTAAACATAGCACAATGCATGGGACAGCCCCCCTCCAATAAATAATTTTCGGCTCAAAATGTCAATTGGGCCAAGAAAGCCTGGTCTAATCTATTTCTTCACGGCTAACTGGGACATGGTGACAAACACAGGTGGATAGAAATGATAAGTACTTTTCTTAAAGACCTCCTATTAAGTGAAACAAGTTAGAGTTCTAAAGTTCACTTGATAGATGGATAAATAAAATTTCCAATTTAGCAATTTTCGGGTTGCAATATTTTAGGGAGAAAATGGGACATAGTACATGACTGGCCATGTTACTGAGCAGTGTATCATCTATATTTATCAGCTCATCACATTCACCTACACAGAAGTTCATAATCAAACTGGCTACTGCTGCCTCCATGTACTACAAATTAATATTTTCCTGCATTTAGGCGCTAACTGAATTCTCCATGCCTACCCACCAAGATTGACCAGACCTCAGATTTCGGCAGTGGGTTTTATGTGCTCAGTTTCTGAAGAAAACATTCATATCTAAAATTCCCTTTCCCTTATGTTACAATCCATTAAAACTTTACTGTCCAGCTCTATGAAACTTAAAAGCCAGAGTGGGAAAGCAAGATGATTTTGACTGAAAACCTAAAGGAAGCTACAAAGAGATGCCTTCTATAAAAAAGGGGGGAGGGGGTTGGTAATGCACTGAAATAAAATATACAGAGGCTGAAGAGGTCCCTCTAAAAGTAGCAAAGCCCTTCGAGGTTATTTTATTTCCCAGTAAGGTTTCCTTGGGTGTTTCAACAAAGAAAGTCATTTTTCTGGGGGCTGTTTTTTTTAATGTCTCCATTTCCAAGTTTGCTGAAGGCACTTACTCGTCTATTTTCTAGGTGTTACACTAAAAGAAAATTTTAAAGTTATGAAAAAACTCAGTTCAAATTTAAAGAAACCACACAGTGTTCAGAAATCCATTGTGAAATCAACACATTTATCTAGAAGAAAGAAAAGCATCATGTAACTGACAAAAATCCATCTACACGCTGAAGTTTTTCAAGCTAACAAAGCAAGTACTGTTTGGCAGGAATGTAGAAAGATGGGTAATTTAGCCCACTGAAGCCTTCTTAAACACTTAAAGATGAAGACAAAACTACTGCTTAGATGGACTAACTGGGTTCTACACCAAATGTCATCTTCTGACTGTAAACCTGAAACAGAAATGTGTCCTTGTGCTTAAAGTTCAAGCAGAAAAACGCCCTATTTACTTACCAAAAAAAAAAAAAAGGACAAAATGATCCTAATTTAAAAAAAGAAACAGTACAGCACGAGGACATTTAAGTGTGAGATCTAATTTCAGAGTGTTGAGCATAGAGTAAGAGCACAAAAGCGGAAAACTCCAAGGGTATCTCCTGTGCTGTAAATGGCACCGAAGTACGTTTAGGCAAACATGTGGTGAAACTCTTTAATCTTGGTAAATGTAAAAAGTTTTGTTTTACATGAACTTGACTGGACTCTTTGCTGCAGTTCCAGCTTCTGAAAACAAGAAATGGCACCAGGCTTAGGAAAAGGGTGGCTAAGGGGAGATGCGTGTCCACAGCTTCCCCTCCAAATCCCTAAGGAGGAAAGCCGCCTCCTGGAGGTATTGGGTAGCCAGGCAGCCTTACTGAAAACAACCAAGGTTTTGAGCGTTGTTTTTGGCAAAAGGTAGGTGTTACCGGCTGCTTCCTGGGGCGCTGGAAGGAATGTGTCACCATCAATCAGAAAGTACACTGAGCCCCGTGTTTGGGTCACAGAGGGACTACTGCCTCTTCCAACACGAATAAATCATGCCAATTCCAGGAAAGGAGGAGAAAGGAGAGTTGCCCGAAAGGTGTTGGCGCCCAGTGACCTGCAAGACGAAAAGGAAACCCCAGCTTGTGCTGAGGAAAACTTCGTGCGCTCCCAGGTTGCGGCGAACTCCCAGAACCCAGGAGGGCGGGGGCTCCCACACTTCCCCGGGGACCAGCGCCGCCCGAGCGCAGTTCTGGGGAAGACCGCCGCGGTCCCGAGTCACTCACCTCGGTGGTCCTGGCGAAGGACAGGCTCCCACGAACTCACCTCTGCAGTCCTGGGGAGGGACGGGCGCCCCTCCTACTCACCTGGCAAGCCCCGGTGGATGAATGAACTGCCCACCCGGCCGAGCCTCCCGGACACGGGCAAATCGCGGGAGCGCTCACCTGTGGGGATACTGGAAGGCTTCCCCGAGTCCGCACCCAGGCAGGGATTCCAGAGCTGGAAGACAAACGCCAGCAGCAGCAGCTGCGGCTTCAGGGCGCAGCACCCCATCTCCGGCCTCCGGAGAGCCCGCTCCAGCTCCGGCACCGCACTGCCAGCAGCGGTGCTCTTCTCGCGAGAGCGCGCGGAGCCCGGTCCGCCCGGGGCCGACGACTGCGGGCGGGAGCCGGCGGGCCAAGAGCGCGCGGCGGCGCGGCTGCGGGCGGCTGGCGCGGCGGGAGGGCGGGCGGCCGAAAGGAGGCCGTCGCGGAGTCGCGGAGGAGCTAGCGCCCCCCGGCGCTGCGGGCAAGTTATAGGCTCCCCGCGGGGGAGGCGACAGGGCGGGCCGCACCCCGGCTATTGGCCGCCAGCTGACCCGCCGCGCCGGTGCGGTCGCCTCCGCTCGCCTCTGCCGGCCCCAAGGCTGGGATTGTTTGCTCAACTCCGACCTATTTAAGGAGCTGTCTGCGGCTACGTGTAGAGGCTCACGCAGGGCTTGTGGCTGGAGCAAGGGAGCGTGTACTTAAGTTTGGGAGCGGGCCTGGGAGAGGGGAGGAGCCGCGGGGAGTCTGGCGGGCGGGCGGTGCTCCGCTCCCCTTCTTCTCTGCTGCCTCAGCACCAGAAGCCTCCCAGTAGCCTCAGAGGGTGTGAATTTGCTCTTCTCTGAATTTGGAGACTACTCTCTCATCAGAGTGACTGCAGATCCTCAGCGATCTTCGCTCAAGAGACCTCGCCAGACTCTTAGGTCATGGAAATGGATCGCCCCCCACCCTCAACCCTTACTCAGGGGGCAAGTTTCTTCACTCTGTAGAAGGAAGGCCCTGCTTTTGTTTTACCCTGTAAACCGAAATTTTTTATTGTCCAGTGAACATTTCATCCTCCTCTGCCTGTGCCAGGAGAGCCATAGACTCTCTCCAGTCATGGCTTGTAAATCCCGCGGAACTGGAGTCCAGCATGTGTAACCTGGGGCTGTGCCTTACAAGATCTTCCTTCAGTCCACATGGAAAATTACTCCCAGAGTTGTCTGAGCGATCTCTCAGGTCCCTGGCTCGTCCTCCCCTGCTTCCAGTTTTGACTCTTGTCTAAGCAAATGCCCTTTTTCTGTATTACATCTCATCACATTTTAGCTAGCCCAGTATTTAATCTGTTGGGATGAGCAGGGGCAAAAAGTACAAGCGTGACAATTTTGCTTCATATATTTCATGACGTGAGCTATCTTATGGGAGAAAAAAAATCAGACTGGTAATGCGGTAGCATTCTGTAATCTTCTACCTCTATTTTCCTAAAATGAAAAAAAAAAAAAAAATCGAGCCAAAGCTTTTCCAACTCTGAGCCTTTGAAGTTAAAACAGAAAATTATTGAAAAAGATATCTCATTATGATCTCATTTTGTCTAAAACTAGCATGGTATATAGATGAGTAATAAATGGTTGCATTTAAAACAGGTGGAAAAACCTGCAAAGAAATGTTGCCTGGATGTGACATTTTAGAAAATCATTTCCTGTGCCCAGAACTAAGCTAGTTGCTATTGTTTTGAAGGTTTGGTCTCAGGATTTTTTTTTTTTTAAGATTTTATTTATTTATTTGACAGACAGAGACACAGCGAGAGCAGGAACACAAGCAGGGGGAGTGGGAGAGGGAGAAGCAGGCCTCCCGCAGAGCAGGGAGCCCGAAGTGGGACTCGATCCCAGGATCCTGGGATTATGACCTGAGCCGAAGGCAGAGGCTCAACAACTGAGCCACCCAGGCGCCCGGTCTCAGGATTTTTAAAGGAAAATTGGAGAACGTTCAGAGAAGGATAACAAATAATTTAAAAAAATGGAAACTATGACCTGTGAGAAGAATGAAATAGGTTTATTTAGCCTGAAGAAGAAAAAGCTAAGGGATGGATTCCCTAATAACATCCTTCAGCGTGTGGCCAGCTCCACTCCACAAAATTAGGCAGAAAATAAACATCAGTCTTCGGAGCCTGAGGACTCTGAAAGGAATGGCTTGTCTTTTGACCAAATCTAAGTCTCCAGAATTCCAGAACCTGTCAACTGTACCTGAACTGTGCCAAACTCCTTGGATTGGACTTCTTGCTTTCCTGGTTGTCCGTATCTTCAAGAATTCACCTGGTGAGAGCCAACCTTTCTGCCCTGTCACTCCCCCTTTTGCCTCTATACACACTTACAGCCTCTCCACATCACAAGTATGTATTTCAATTGCAAAGTCCATCAATGCCTGCAGGTTACTATGAAATTTCTCCTCTTTTAGAGTCACAAGGTCAGGACTATAAGACTTGTATAAAGCAAGTGTTTCTTTGGGATTTTCACATAGCCAGGCACCTTTATCACTGTCTAAAAGAGCTCCAATTCTGAAACCAAATCCTTCCTGCCTTCTTATATTTCCAGCTGTCTGCTGGACATTTCTGCTTGGACATTCCACTGGCACAAACCCCAAATGTCTTTAACTCATCAAATCCAGATCCCACTCACAGCTTCCTCATCTCTGTTGATACTTCTGCTCTCTAACTCACAGAGCCTCAGACATTTGCTGCTCTCCTCCCACCCCCGCAACACGCAGAACTCGATTCCAAATCTTGTCATTTTTTCCCTTGACATTTTCTCTCCATCTATTCCTTTCCATTCTCACTGCCACCTCACTAAGGCACTCCTGAATATATCCTAACTGTGCTGCCTGAACTGTTTCCTAACTGTAGACCTTTCCTGGCCCCAGTACAATACCACTATATACCACGGCTAGATTCATCATACTCAGATATCCTTTGATTACTTTATCCCCAAACTCAAAGATTTCAGAAGGAATTTGGAAACATTCTAAATCCCTTCATGTAGAATTCAAATTCCTTTACTATCAAACCTAATCACCTCTCCCTATACCTATACACAACCCATATGGCTTGCTTTATTATGTCCCAAAGCAGACCAAAGACTTTATCATTTTTATTCTCTAGAGTTTGGGTAAAAATCACTGTCTTCATTTGAGTTTCTCCAGGGCCAACCCTAAGCCAAGATTCCAGGATCAACAGTTTGTTGGAGTTTCAAAGAAAAGGGGTAGTTGAGGGTGAAGTGACACAGGAGAGAGAATTTCGTCGATAATGGGTACATTATTAAATCGACAACAGTGATTAAATAGAGTTCAATCCCACAAAATTGCTGTACTTACCCCTCAGAAATATCCTGGCCAAGGGGCAAGAGAACAGGGGTATACATACCCCAACACTCATTAGTCATTAAGAGCTGAGGGGCACTTATTAATTCTCAGGCATTCCAGGCTGCTTATGTCCATAGGCACAGCAGTCTCCCAGTAATGATGCAGCTCTTGACCATAAGTCAGGTTGACATATTCGGAAATAGTAAAAAGCTTTGAGGAGAAATGAGAGGACCACTCACAGCATCTGCTCAGCCACCATGCCTCTGTTCATGTTGTCCCTCCATCTAAAAAGCTCCTCTCCAAACCTCTCCTTTCAAAGGGCTAACTTTTGTCAGGCCCAGGTGCGACCTCCTACAGGAAGCCCAACTTTGGTGCCTCATCCAACCTCAGGCTGAGTTAGGTATCCCTATTCCAGGCTTTCTAACTCCTTAAACAAAACTCTCTCATTAGTGACAGTGTTTTATTAAACAGTTTGGTTTTTTTGGGTTTTTTTTTTTTTAAAGATTTTATTCATTTATTTGAAAGAGAATGAGATAGAGAGAGCATGAGAGGGGGGAGGGTCAGCGGGAGAAGCAGACTCCCTGCCGAGCAGGGAGCCCGATGCGGGACTTGATTCCGGGACTCCAGGATCATGACCTGAGCCGAAGGCAGTCGCTTAACCAACTGAGCCACCCAGGTGCCCAAACAGTTTGTTTTTTGAGGGCAGGATCCAATTGTTCATCATTGCACACTAAGTAACTGGCACATAGTAACATGTATTCTTTCATTCATTCATTCATTCATTTACTCAGAAAACACTGACTGTGTATCTACTCTGAATAGGCACTGTCCTAGATGCTAATAAAACAAATATATCAGTGAAAAAACAAACATCCCTATGCACTGACTCTTACATAAAGAGATAATAAACATATAATGGTAATAAGTGGTAGAGAGAAAATAAATCGGGAACGGTACCTAGGAAGGACCAAGGAGGAGAGGGTATGTGGAAACTTGGAATAGGAAGTCCTAGGAAAGCCTCACTGAAAAGATGATGCTTGAGCAAAGACCTAAAAGTGGTGAGGGAAACAGAGTCATTGTGCTGTATGGGAAAACTGTGTTCTGGGAAGAAGAGACAGGGAGTTTAAAGATTCTGAAGCTAGAACATATCTGGAGTGGTAAAAGAAGGCAAGCTAGCAATGAGCAGGAGTTCAGTGACCATGGCTAAGACCAGTGAGAGATGTAGCCCCTGAGAAGTGACAAGGAGGGCAAAGGTAAGTAGACATGCAGACAGTGTGAAGTCAGTCATAGAGTCTGATAACATCTTTGCCCTTAAGGACATTATATTTAAGTGAAATAAGCCACTTACATCTAAAACAATCAAACTCACAGAAACTAAAAATAAAATGGTGGTTGCCAGGGGCTGGGGAGGGGGAAAAGGGGAGCTAGCTAATCAGTGGGTGTAAAATTTCAGTTATGCAAGATGAATATGTTCTAGAGATCTACTGAATAACATTGCATCCATAGATAACAATAATCTCCTGTACATTTAAAAAATCTGTTAGGAGGATCAATCTCATGGTAAGTGTTCTCACCACAAGTGAAAAAAGAGAGAGAGAACACCATCCAGATGGTTGTACACATAGTAGTGATGGGGTCTGGTGTAGGGTTTGAGAAGGCTCACAGAATCCAGATGCATGGTTAGACTAAGGGACATGGGAAAATGAAATACAAAGCCTGGAGACCAATTTGGAAGCAGATGCAGTGGTCCAGGAGATGATGGTGCTTTCAGCCTGATAAAAGCAAGTCAGCTTCTAGGTAGATTTTGATTGTAGAGCCAACAAAATTTGATCATTTGAATGTAGGTGTGAGGAAAAAAAAAAAGGAGACAGGGATATTTATTCAATGAATATTTGTTGAATGAATGAGAAGTCAAACCTTGGAAAGACATGAAATAGCCCTGGGCGTGGAGAGGAAAGGAGAGGTTAAATGAAATAGATGAGAAGGAAAAACAACCAGACAGCCGAGAGCTGAAACTTGGAGATGACAAATGCTTTGAGGGGAAGAGGAGGAGTCAGCAAGGGAGACTGATAAAGTCAGAGAAATAGCAAAAATTCTGCAAAAGAGAGACATGGGAAATAGAAGAAAGCCTGGGAAA